AATCGAGTTCAGCCGTTTTGGACAAGTGGTGAATTATTGAGTGTCGTGGTACAAAAACTACCAGAACTTTTTATTTGGTGGATGGAATCAATTCATTTTTTTTTGGTTGATGCACTAATCATTTAGTCACAATTTTGTGCTCTTTGGAAAATCTTGCGGCGCGTACACGCGTACGCTTTCACGCAAGTTGTCTTCACAAAACCCTAATACTTAGACCATGTCGGTCACTTCTTCATTAGAAAAGGTCATTCGAAAGGAATTTGTGAGATTGATTGACAATTAATTTATGCCTCGTATCAGGATATTTGCAGCTAATGTCTAACGTTGTTAAGTGGCAAGAAAACAGAAATATTTTTTTTCGCAAAAACTATGAACGCTACAAGATTTTACAAGGAGCACAAAATTGTGAATAAATGATTAGTGCATCAACCAAAAAAAATGAGTTGATTTCATCCACCAAATAAAAAGTTTTGGTAGTTTTTGTACCACGACACTCAAGAATTCACCACTTCTCCATAAATGAGCTCGATTGTTTCATCAAAATATGAATCTTACATAAGAACAAATTCACAGCGAGTTTCACTAAAAGACGTCGTACCATTCTCCCGATATTTCGAAAAAGATACATTTTTTGAAGAACTTTGTCCATCAATAGCAGAGGAGTCAGACATGTTTTGTTAATAAAAGTTACATGAGATCGTCTTCGTTTGATGCAAAGAATATAATTTTGATCATGTGCTTACGGGACACCCTGTATGTAGAAATTAAATTAAATTTTGTTATTATCACTGACTTATTCAATTGCACAAGTGGAGGGCATTCATAGATTTGACCTGCCCGAATATAAAAGATTTGCTTAAACGTAGATTAATATTTATTGACATCAAATTAAAAAATATATTGCAATTGACTCCGCATCTATCGGTACTTAAAAAATAACACTTTAGACTATCGGGATAAACGAGTATTCTTCAAATCAACAATGAATTTTACCTCTCAAAACCTGTTTGAAAAATCAGCAAATTTATCGCAGTTAAGTCGATGCTGTAACGATTAGAAACTGAAACCTGTAAATGAAGAAGCGTGAAGATTACGTAAACTTGTTATGCACTAACCACCGTTTTTGTCGATTTCAAGGATATACAAATCGCCTCATGCATCGGACACTGCAAATGTGCAAGATTGGCTCAGCGGAAAATATGAATCTCAGCTGCCTCCTGAGTTCGCGTTTTCGAAGCTCAAGTCTTCAAGTGCCATAGATACGCGTACTTTCACTAGGCCAAAAAAGAAAAGTAGTCGACCTAGTATCAACGAGATAGAGCGAATGTACAACAGCGAGAGCGAAGGAGCTTCCGGCGAAGATAAACAGCATTTTAGATCTAAAGTAAGTTACGCTTTCAATGGCATGTATAATGGAAACAATACATTGTTATCGATAGTATGTAATTTATTGCCAACGTACCAAGCAATTAATTAGATATTCTGTATTGCAATTCTACCGAATTAATTGTTTAGTATTTCACATGCTCTAGTTGATTTAGTCGAGAACAATTTCTCATTATTTTGAAGGTACCGCAGACCGTTCAAGAAGATCAGGAACTAGGGTCTGAAATGGGACGGCCCTTAAAGTTTGATTTGTCCCAGCCAACAAGCAACTACAACTTAGATAGTTTTATTAGCAGCGAACTTTCAATGGTTTCGTCTAATATGTCCCAGCTGTTCGACACGTCGCCACCCAGCCTGATGGATTCGCTCACATTTTCAAATATAATGGACAGCAGCTTTATTAAAAACGATGCAGTTCTACACAAAATTCGGGACAAGGACTATACGGAAACTGTGTTACTACAGGATTTTGAAGCGCCCATGTTCCAGAGTATTAGTGAGAGCTGCAGTAGTTTTAACTCAGACACGCCAGAGAACTTCTTAAAGAAGGTGACACGAGAACACAATTGTAGAAATAGCTCAACTGTGATCGAGAATAATGATGTTACTATTACGCCAGATCGAGTATTTTCTTTGGCTGCATCCAATCCAAGCGGTGAGTTGAATAAATTCGTTTACTAATTTTTTTGCGCACAAAAACAAATTGTCAGACTATGTTAGTATCAGCGGCATATCTATCCACTACCCGATTAAGAGATGAGTCAATCATAAATAAATTTGATTGCACTAAACCCTAATAATTGCTGTTGGGATGGTTTTATTAATGCATCATTAGTTTTATGTGTCTGGCAGCTTTAGACATGATAGTTATTTAATTGTGTTTCTAACTGCGCCTACCTTTGTTTATGAACGCAGACAAAGAAGTCAAGGCTTTGCAACCCATTTGCTTGAATACATTATTTAATTGTATTGAAGTATTGGGAATTTGTTAAATATGCCACTGTGTCGCAATATGTATGTATTTGCATATTTCTTTACACAATTTGGTTTTCAGATCACTCAGAGCCGCGAGCGGGAAATTCCCCGTCTGCGGAAGAAACAGATCCAAATTTACCCCATATTGCCGATGAACCGAACAAGAACAGCAATCATTCAATTGCTCAAAATTATTCTGGAATCTTAAATGGAACATATCGTCGCCCATTGAAGCACAATGGAACCTTTACAAAGGCGGATTACACGAATAATCGACTAAGTGGCGTTAAGGTCCTACAGAACTCCATTCATGGGGCTAGTGGTTTAGGTAGCATCCACATTGCTAGGAAAGTTTGGCATTCTTAACTGTTAATTGTTGGATTACAGAAAATGATATTAAAGGCATTGAAAACTCGATGAATCACAGCAATACCGGCAATTCCGATAAGCTACACTCGACCATCACCAAATACAATAATGCGGAGATTTTACGGAGCGATAGCGTTGAGGAAATGAAGAAACGGTTCTCTTCATGTTCGTCGAGTATTGAGCAGCTGATTGGGATGGGTTGTAGCCAGGAGGATATTAAAGAGGACTTGAATGCCAAATATACTGACAATAAAGTTGCTAGTGAAACCACCCGCACTATGGACATGAAGCGGTGAGATTAATCACAAAACTGTCTAAGCTAGATAAGCAGTAGGAAATTCGCAGGTCTTCGCTTGGTTCGACAGACAGTTTGGACCGCATGAGTAGCGTGTCTGGAAGCAGTAGAGGTTCGCATAAACGCATGAGTATGGAAGATGTTCATGCTATAGCCGAACTGCAGGAACAAAGTGAGTATTGCCTGTTGCAGTTTATCAAAGCGAACACGAAAAATTAGTACATATATTTTAATCCGTACCATGGGAAATTTGCGCTCTTGCCACCTACATTCGAAACACGCAGTGGGCGCCAGAATTCGTTTGCATGTAATAATCGATTGTAATTTGTTCTCTGCCTACTTTTACCACCGGTTTGCTTCCCATAAATATCAAAAACTAGCAGAAGAATTAAAGTGTAACAAGAACCGGTTTTAATAGTTTACAGGTCGTTGATATGGAAAGCTTACGGTAAATTATTCCGTTTTTTTTTTATTAAAGTGTCTTAAATCTTAACATTGCGTCAAAGACTAATTTCAATGTGAATATTGAAGTTAAACTTTGGGGCTGTAGGAACTGGCTTTGTTATTGGATGCTTAAGGATAGTATTGCGAATATTTATAAATCAAGGTAGAGGGAACGCGTCGTTCTTACTTAGAAGCTGAAGGCTCCCTGTTTTTGTGAAAAGTTTTCAGCTATTAGCTACTGAGAAGTCCAATTGGGGGCTATAGTAAAAGCGCTGCATAAAAATATTTGTTATTAAATTGTAATTTTTGAAATCCAAGATTACTTAGCCTCCCTGATAACAAGATTATTTACGGCAGCAGTCAATTATTTATCAAAAGAAGACACGAATCCGTCATAACTGTTCTCAATGGCACATTATCGTTGAATTCCATTGGTAAATCAGGTGTGTTTCCTGTCAGCATCGCGACCAAAATCTCTTTTACTGTTTCCAGGCTTACATCAAGCCATGTCAACTCCAAACGGTGTCGTCGGAAAGCGTAACTTCCTATGGAACACCGAGATTTTATCACCAATTACTGTTAAAGAAAACTTGTCCGATTCGGAGTTGTCTGATGAATATAAAAGTGTTAAATCGCACGCTTCATCCAAGGTAATGGACTGATTATTAGCCCGATGCAGACTGTGGAAATTGCGTTTATTTTCCAGATAACATTGAAAACGTGGGAACCGCCCAGTGCCAAAAGTTTAAGTTGTTTAGCCATCAATAAGGAGCTGAAGCTCAAAACGAATCAAAGAACTGCGTACACCCTAGCCGGCCAGAGGCCTGTTCAAGCTCTCCAGAGTAACTTGCGAGGATCTTGCACGAATATAAGTTCCATGAAATGCACTAATACCAGTTTGGGTGAGCTATTTTATGAAGTAGAATTAGAAATTTCTTGCTTAACTATTACTGTTGTCTTCAGGTGGTTCGCATCAAAACTTATATAAATCACCTAAACCACCAATTGCCAGCCAGCAACCAATTAAGCCTGCTATGGTCAGTAATTTGAAAACGATGGGGTCCAAGTTGAAAGGATCGTATACCAGTCTACGACCGATCAGTGCCAATTTGCCCGTAGTGCCACCCAAAGATAGTACGAACGAAATGAATGCCACTTTTTGCAGGCCTCAGACTGCTGGCCGACCGCTTATGGCCACCACAACTCAAAGTAGTACCTTTACTAGAAATAACGTAAGTCGATTTTACGATGATTATACATATAATACAATCTATTGTTTGTGTAACAATGACAATTTTTTTTGTTACGAACTTCTTGTTGGGTATTTCGCCTCAAAAATGTTTGCCTTTAAAAAAGACAGAATTTCCTCACGTCTTCTATTACAGATTGATAAATAGCGCTCCTATTTCGCAATAAGAACGAATTATTTATCAAAAAGTAATCAAGAACTATCACCTAGAGGGTGTCCTGCGACACACTTTGGCTCAAGCTGTAAGAGAAAATTCCAATTAGAAAAGAAATTAATCTGAAAAATTACCTTGACGTTTCGATAGCTATTTTCTGTTGTCGTTATCAAAAGAACCTAAATGCACCTAAAAAAGAGTATGTTAATAAATTGTGTAACAATAGTAGGATAATACAGTATATGAAAATTCGCTCTG